GTCCCATAAACAGATCACAGAAGAGTCTGTTGCCTGCCAGTAATTTTCCCCTAGGCAATGGCGAGGCAGTTCCTACACTATTCAGATTGCTTTTTCTTTCGTTTTCCAAGACTGGGCTCCTCTTAAAGTGGAAGAGAGTTGAAAGTGAGTAGGCGGAATAGTAAAGGACAGTTGCTAAACACTCTCAAAGATACTGCAAAATTCAAACTAAAGTTGTAGCTATGAGGGTTAGATTCACTAGCCTCTGAGCTCTGCTTAAGTGTCATGTGTCTTTCAATTTTGTATCCCCAATGCCTCAACAGGGCTCAGCATTTAATGTATTTATAAACGTACAGCTTGTCATAATTTTGTTTTTCTGAAATGTCATGAGTGTGAAAACTGTACCAGTTTTTGAAATAAATACACCTTTTTAAGTAGTTTCTGGAAATGACCTGTGGTGTAATAAGGAATACCAAATGCCAAGCACTGAAGCTAGGCATTTTACCTTATTACTGAGTGAAGTAAATTTTAGAAACTGAGGCTTCAAGATTAGAGAATACAACTAAGATGGAACATCTGATATATGACAGGGTTTAAGACTTCAACCCAAGCTTGCCTGACTCTTAATCACGAGACAAAAGTCTCGTATTAATTCAGCAAAGCCTGGTCAACCGCTATCCTTCAATGTGCAGTGTCCACAATGAATTTAGGGCCTGGTTTACCAAGATGAGCCAGTGTGTCCACCCACCCCACCCTAAACAGGAACTGGGATGCCAAAGGTAAAACGTGGCCTGTGCGCAAGCTCACACCGCCCATCCTCACTCTTCCTTCCCTGCTGACAGGACGTCACCGCCGCAACTTTCCCGGACAACTTTAGAACGGCTCCCACCCACTGTGGAGTCAAACGGGCGGAAGTCGTTCCTCTCTGCGACGTGGATGCCCTTCTCCTCCTCTGGCCTTTCCAACTTGGAAGGCGACCCCATGCGCCTCCGTCTCTCCCGCATTCAAACTGAAGTTTGCCAGTTGTCAATATGGCCGCTGACAGGCCGGTCCCCTGCAGAGGCTTTTCATAGGCCAAGGTCGCATCTTAGCCCCGCCCACTACGTCCCTCCAGGTTGCGCCCGCCTCAGTCTTCGCTACGCATGCGCAGCTGGCGCTGACCGGGAGGTGGGACGGCTGGATTCTTCCGTGTGCCACGGTCTCTTTTTCGGGCTTGCCGCTCCTGCCTCTCCGGGGCTGCATTGCCAGCGTTAGCTGCGCGAGGGGAAGGGACGGGACAGACGGAGCGTGCGTGCACGGTGATCCTGACAGTCCCAGCAGTTCCTCTCGCGCGGGGTGGGCGGTGGGGGTCAGCAGCAGTCGGGGTGGCTCTAGACGGCGCCATGTCGGCGGGCGGCCCGTGCCCGGCAGGAGCCGGAGGGGGCCCAGGGAGCGCCTCTTGCGCCGTGGGGGTCTCTCCGGGTGGGGTATCCATGTTCCGGTGGCTGGAGGTGCTGGAGAAGGAGTTCGACAAGGCCTTCGTAGATGTGGATCTGCTGCTAGGCGAGATCGATCCGGACCAGGCGGACATCACTTATGAGGGGAGACAGAAGATGACCAGCCTGAGCTCTTGTTTTGCGCAGCTTTGCCACAAAGCCCAAACTGTGTCCCAAATCAACCACAAGCTAGAGGTGAGCTTTGGGCGCTGGAGGGGGTGGCATTCAACCCCAGCCATCAGGTCCCACTTAACGCGTCAGTGAAACGACCCCAGAAAACTGCCCACTGGAGCACCTGGGCCTTCAAATGTGACGGGGAGTGCGCGTGTACATGTGTGAAGGAAAGGAGTGAGGTGAGGTTGGAGTAGAAAAGGGGTGTAGATTGACAGTGGGTCTCCCTGGGTCCTGTCATCTGCCTTACTACTAACTATCTCCGTGAGGAGGCAACAGGAACTAATTACACCAGCCAACATATTACATTAAGCTAAGATTTAAGCTCAAAGATTCTGTCTAAGAATACTTTGGCCCACTTGGATTTTTAGATATACTTTCATTTTGATAAACCAGCTTTGTATATCCAGACAGATACCGTCCTGATTATTTTTAACAATTTCAGATCAACGTCTGTTGTTGCACACAGACATACTATTCCCTGCATGCATGAACTATTTAGGGGAATTTGATAAAAGCTCTTAGGAAAATTTAGTTGGATAAACACAATAGTATCAATGTCCTTCTCGGTTTACAGTCCTTAAATTACATGCGATACCACTGGAGCTCCCTACAATTATTCAAATGACTTCTAACATTGAAATTTTGTTTGTACTTTACTATATTTCCCAAAGTCAGGTTTTATTTTTGGAAGTGTGTTAACAATGATCATTTGCTTTAGTCTCTAATCTTGGTTGTGGGTGTGGGTGGAGTGATGGGTACAAAAAACAAAAACAAGAAATCTACCCCATTGTGCAGAAAATTAAATTAGCATATTACAACATTTAGAAATCATAGATTCACATTGCATAAAGAGCATTTTCTAACAATGTTATTTTAAGTGTGAGAATGGGGCTTTCATTTTAAAGTAGATAAAAATAGAATAATCAGTGGTGTGCAGAGCTCTTTGAACATTAGGTTTCCAAAGAAATCATCATTGCTATCAGTTTTAATAAGAGAGTGCCCAGTGGATCTATATCAATATAAACATCAGATATGCATCCTCCCCTTTCTTAGCCACTAGCATTCTTTCTCTTTCCTGTTAGCCATGAAAAAGTTGGTATCATTTTTGATTAGCATAAAATTACATATCAGAAATTTTGTGACTCTTCTCCACTGAAAGGACTGTTAATTTTTTTCCATCTGTTTTGAAAAGGTTGGAATGAAAGTACTAACATGAGGCTAATCAATTTTTCTTCTAGGTATATGAAAATGTCTCTTGATTTCTTGATTAGTGGTAATTTCTATAAGATAGTTATTTTTACAGGTTATAAAATTACATTTGATGGTTTTTATTAATAGTACGTTAGCTTTAAATAACAGCAAGAGTAGGTTTTGCCACATGAGAACTTTTATATCATTTACAGCTGAAAGTATCTACTGAGGATAAACAGCTTTTAAAAAATGAAACAATATCTAATTCAATTTTTAAATGACTTAAGGAAACTTTAACAGTGATATTTTGATGTAAGATATAAAATCTAATTTTGGGAAAAGGATCGTTCTCTGAGTAGGAGGTGGTGCTCAGTTTCTTTCATCTTTAATATTTTAGATGAGGGTTCAGAGCTATAATAAATTATACATGTTCTTTTTTTCAGAAATTATAATTACGTATTCTGACTCCATGTCCTGACTTAGGAGGTAGCGTTATTTCTCAAAATAAGAAATGCTAGCCTATCATAATGTGAGCATATATTTTTTAACATGCTCGAAACCCTTCATATGTCTTAGAAAATGGGGGAGGGAGAGGCTAAACTTGATTTTTTTGCTTGTGTGTTTTTTCAATTACAGTTGCTCATCTGTTTGTGGGGTTAACCTACATTTTGTGGTTTCTACAGTTTTCATGAAATTACATATAAGAAATTTTGTGATTCTTCTCCACTGAAAGGACAGTTGTGTATTGCTGAGGAGAGCTTCATTGTCAGTAGTGCCTTTTCAAAGTAGATGTGCTGTTATATCATCTGCAGAATTTCAGAGGTTGCTCCATATACTGTTATCAATCTTCTGAGATTTTGAAATCTTAGAAACACATGTCCATACTTTCTTTCCCTATTTTATTTCTTAGTAAGTAGATTGAATTAGTTCTAGTGTTTTAAAGATTTGGACATTAAGGCATACTATTTAAGGCCACTTATGGTTTGATATAACAAATGTGCACCAAAGTTCTGTGGTTTTAGTGATTAATACCTTAAACCACATTACCATAATAAAATATTTTTGTAATCAAGTCTCAAATATCTCCAATATGGATAACTTACATTTAAATTGGTCTTGAGTGTTCTTCCAGTTTGCCCCTTCTTCTGCCCAGTTATTGTGTCTTTAGGTAACACCATGTTTAATATTAATATAGTAGTTAGGGAAGCAATTTTGCTGCAAAAAAAAAAAATCATAGGTTGCATTTTAAAATTAAATGTAAATTGACATAAGTTATATTTGGTGAGAGGGATATCTGTAAGAGAATGGGGAGGGCAACAAATATGAGAATATTTAGAGGTAGTGCTATTTCAGATTACTCACATCTCACACTTCCCACCTATTTGAGAATTCCTGCTGTGGTGAGCCACTTGGTGACAGCTGTGTGGGAGTAATTGGTACTGATTGGGATCTAGCAGTAGTAATAGTAGTAGTAGCAGTAGTAGGTGTACTGGAGTAGAACAAAGGTTGAGAACTGATACTTTAAAAAACTCATCTCTGCCTTGAAACACAGTTTTCTGCCTATTCACCCCTGCTTTAAAATAACAGCAAAACAGTACATCTTCTATCACATCCTCCTTTCCCTCAGCAATTGCTAAATCAGCGTCTCCTTTTAAAGTGATGACTGTTCACAACTATCAGTGGGGAAACTTTTAACTTTGGTCTGGAGTGTGGACGGAAAAGGGGCCACATGTTAAACCTTACAAGCCAGGAGACTGAAAATAACCACAGAGGATGGCATGACCATAGAAATTCCTAACAAAGGTGGGCCATGGCGGGAAGTCACATCCTTGGCCTGTAGCTTCCTTGACAAAGGTCAATCTTTGCCTTAAGCCTGCCTGTCATCTTTTTGCATCTGAGATAACATACCTTTACAGTATCAGAGTAATCTCTTTTTCCAGACCCCCAGGCGGCACAACCCACCAGAGCAGGAATCTACAAAGTCCCTCATTGTTATCTTGTTCCCCAAATACTATCTCTATGTGCTGTAAAATGCTATTAACTATCCTTTACCCACCAGTGTAAAAGAAGTACATGTCTCTCCATTTTACTTTTTATCCAATCACAGAGATTTCCCTGCTTTGCTTTCTCCCACCCACTTAATCTACAACCAATGGATTTCATGTAATCCTCTTCCTTTGATTCTAATGTATAAACTAAGTTGCCCAACGGCCATTTTCCAGAGCATTTTCTCAATCCGTTGAGACTTTGCTTCCCAGCAATTGTCGGCAGTTTGGCTCAAATAAACTCTTACAAACTTTCTCTTAGACTGGATGTTTTTCATTGACAAGGGCCATGTTGATAAGGAACTAATGATATACTATCCCTTTACTGCTTTAAAACTGTCTTGTTTTTAAAAAGCAGTGAGGCTATTTTGCAGCATTGAACTTAAAAGTTTAATATTGATCCAGTATGTATGTATTGAGCACTAATTATGCCAGATGCTGTGTTGGGTACTTGGGATACAATGGAGAGCAAAGACAGACATAGTTATTGCTGTTATGGAGCGTGGATTATACTGGGGGGATCTGTTGACAGAATTATCACATATATGTGAATTGCCAATTTTGATGAGTGCTATGAAAAGTACATAGAGTAATGAGAGCTTATTCTGAGGGATCAGGGAAGGCTTTGTCAAGGAACTGACCACTGAGTTAAGACAGAAAGGATGGGTAGGAATGAATTAATTAGGCCAAGAGGAATAGGAATATTATTTAACATTCCACTAGAGAGACAGGAAGTGGAAAGCACCTGTGAGGGGCGAGAGCACAATGCGTTTCCAAAACTGAAAGAGCAGAGGGCAAAACAAGTGCCACCCAAGTTAAGTCTGAACAGGTAGGTCGGGACCATGTCCACATGATTTTTTAGGCAATACAGTAGATTTGGGGCTTTATCATAATGATGGGAAATGTTTTAAACTAGACGGTAGCCTCTGGTATGAGGTTCAAATACCTCACTCTGTCTGTGGTGAGGAGAGAGTTTGGGAGAACGACAAGAATGAATGCAGAAAATCATTGAGGAGGTTCTTCTGATCCGGGTGAGATGATAGTGCAGAGTAGGAGATAGTGCAGGTAGTGTTCAGAATCAGAGAGACTTGAGAGGTAAAAATAAACAAATCCTGGGCCGGCCCAGTGGCTCAGTTGGTTAAGAGCTCAAGCTCTGAGCAACAGTCGCAGGTTCAATTCCCACATGGGCCAGTGAGCTGTGCCCGAGCTGAGCTGCTGCTGAGCTGGTGAGAGCGCGTGCTCTTAGCAGCAAGGTTGCCGGTTCGACACCCCTATGGGATGGTGGACTGCGCTCCACCCCTGTCCCCCCCACACACATAAGATTGAACACAGCACCTTGAGCTGAGTCCCACTTGGTGCCCCCCCCCTTCCCTCAACTAGATTGAAAGTGGCGACTGGACTTGGAGCTGAGCTGCGCCCTCCACAACTAAGACTGAAGGACAACAACTTGACTTGGAGCTGATAGGTCCTGGAAAAGCACAATTCTCCAATAATCTTAAATTTTAAATAATCTCAAAAACCCCCCACAAATCTAGGGATGGATTGGAGCGAAGGGATGAGGGAATTCAGAATGACTCCAAGATGTGAGTTGGCTGGATGGATAGATGGATGTGAGATATTATTGGCAATAACTATATTGCTAACCTTCTTGATCAGTTACTACAGGACAGGCTCTGTCTTAAGTCTTTTACATACACTGACTCATCTAATTCTCAGAACAGTCCTGTGGGGTAGGTTTAATATTGTTATTCCCATTTTACTGGGATTAAGTAAGGGGCCTGAGAC